TTAATTTTATAAATTAATAATGTTAATATATTTTTAATTACATTAACTATATAATAAATTAAATTATTTTAAACATTAAATTTTATAATTACATAAAACTTTAATCTAATATATAAAATTATATCATATTATATCATATATTAATCGTTTTAATTAACATTGAATTAAAATAAAACATGTTATTAATTAAAAAATAATTAGAATGTATATATAAATAATTTATAAAATAGTTAATAAATGTTGTAGTGGGGACCACTTTTGAAAGTGTAGGTGACGTGGCACAGTTGAAAGTGTTGTAGGTGAATTGCAGGTGTGTGGAAGATAATTGCAAAAGCTGATATGGCACAATTGAAAGTGTAAATGGATTGCAGGGATGTGGATGATTTTATGGTCTTTTTTATGGTCCCGTCATTGTTGTGGGACCCATTATGTGTTTAAATCAATATTTTAGCATTATTAAACGTTTTATATTTTGATATCATTTTTCCTTTTCTATTAATTAAAACTATAAGAAACTTAAAAAAAAAAATATTTTTTAATACATAATTATAAACATTTATTTAAGGAATCAAAAACAATTTATAAATTAAAATAAAATATTTTACTAATAATTACTTAATTAATAAATTATTTGGTATTAAATTATAGTAAAAAATATTTTAATTATATTTTTGTTGTCGTTTAAGAAATTATTGTAGTGGATTGTAATTTTTAAGTAACATCCAAAATTAACATGACAGTTAAGAATTTGTATTGTAATGGATGATGGATCATCAAGGATTTCAAGAATTTATAGATACCCTTTTTACCCTTTTGGTGGCATAATAATTTTCACAAAATTTTAATTATACATTAATTTTAAAAGTATATTACGGGCATAAATTTAATTATGGCAATTATATTAATTATATCCTTTTTATTTATTTGATATTAGATTTTACATATTCATTATGTTTTAATTCACACATAGTGATATTCTTTTTGGACGTATTGACGCATTAAACTCCTATAATCTTCTCATAAATGTTTAGTTATTACCAGCAAGCAAGACCTTTGTACACCGGGGCCGTCCTCCAAGAGTGCACAAAACCGCAGAACATTATTAAGTCTCTTAATAACTGTGTTAGGACCAGTTTGTACGTATCTCAATTAATTTGATGAGACCTCAGGGCATCTCCAGTGCATGACACTCTATCAGAGTGTCATGGACTACCACATCAGCATTCCACTCACCATATAACTCTATCATTTTATACCCACACTCCATAACACTCCAATGAGTTTAATGGATTTCCACATCATATATATATATATATATATATATATATATTATCTATAAATATAATTTTACCAACAAATTTAACGGAACATATTTGGGAACATTATTCACAAGCATGAAATTAAAAATAAATGTAGTTTATGTCATGTATTTTAAAATTAATGTAATATCTTATTAATGTAATGTATTTTGAAATTAATGAAATGTTTTATTAATTATGTTGTTTTTATAAATTAAGAAAAATAAAAATAAAAATTAATTTATTGATTAATAAATATCATNTATATATATATATATATATATATATAATATCATAATTAAATCCTTACAAATTTAATTATAAAAAAAATAAAAAAAATAAAAATAAAGGGTCCCATTTTCCTCCATGATGCGTGTCATTCCCATTGAACTCCCCTCCCATTACACTCTCCATGGCACCCCATTGGAGATGCCTTCAAAGACCAACTAGAAAAGATTTACAGTGGTTTTAGAAGGAGTTGAACTAATGACATTTGAGAAAGAGTTCTAAAGGTGAATCCTTATTGAACTAACCCGTTAAAGCTTAAAAAACATTTAACTTTTTGGTGTGCCTCAAAATAGATTGGGCATGATTGTTTCGAATGCAATTCATCACATTTGTACAACCAATGCAACCCAATAAATTGAAATATTTATGAAAATAATGAGAGTTCATTTATTATGATTTAAATATTTATGGAAGACGAATAAGGTTCATTAATTATGATCAATACTTTATATTAGAAAACAATCAAAACTTTTAATGAAATTACATATTCATCAAATTAAATGAACGGTTGAGATTGAGTTGTATTGGTTGTACAAATGTAAGAGGTTGTATAATAACCCACATCTCTCTCTATATATATAATGATGCAAGAGGTTGCAAGTATTTAAATACATTTTGTACAACTTTTGCTCCATTTCATTTCAATATATGTGAAAAATTATTTCTTTTGATATATGTTAGGATTTGTTTAATCATCTTAATAAGTTGAATGCTTGTTCTCTTAGTTATTAAACAACATTTATTTTTCATTTACTTTTAAAAAAATTGGATATAAAGAGTTGAATTAGATAATCATGTGTATAGTGTCCATATCAAATCATCTTAACTCTTAATAGAAAAATAAAATAAAGAACCCTTCAGTTTTTTAGTGGTTAAATTTCTCGAACAACACCCTTTATTGATACCAGTTACCAGGTATGGGTAAAGCTTGCAATCAATATGTTAGAACAATGGTGTTTGGGTTTTCTTTGATATGATACAGACATTAAGCTCGACGTTTTTGAAATTACTAAGTGTCATGATTAGGGGATTTTAGTTCCTCCAACATATAATGTTTCTTGGTAGCTATAAAATAATCGTTGATATATAATTATCAAACTAATTAATTAAATTACATGTTTAATGGAAAATAGTTGTATTTTAAGCATCGTTCTGTCTCTTGCCAACTGAGCTATACGTCCGAGAACGAAAATATTTATATTTTATGCAATGATATATATATATATAATATTACAAACTAACAACCCCTAGTAACACGTGAAACAAGAAGGAGACGATTGACATCACCAACGAGAACAGTGGATTGGGTGATGGCTGAGAAGATGAGGAGGCGGGGTAGCATTAGGAGAACGTGGGATGACCAGCTGACAATGGACATGACAACTTCAGACATTTATGAGAATATGACATCTGATAGGAGTTATTGGGGACATAAGAGTAGAGTGAATGAATTTTAGCAGGATGTTATATACATTATTTCTACTTGTAATACATGTTTTACCTTATTATATCGTTTACCTATACACCATTGAGCTGTGCACACAATTATTGCATGTTTGCATACACCTTATGTGGTGCACAAGCCGGGGATATCATGGAAGCATCATCTCGATCTTAATGGTTGAGGTAATGTTTACGTACATCTTAACCCTCCTAAACCCTACTTTCGAATGAGATTTACTAAGCTAGTTTGGTTTGGTTTGGTTTGGTTTGGTTTGGTTTGGTTTAACAACACTTGAACATTATAACTAACACTTTAGCAACTTGCAAAACTTTTTTTTTTTATGAGTTTAATATTCATAAAAGTACCACTTTAACAAGTTGCTAAAATGTTACTTGTGAAATAATAACGCGAAAATATCACTTACACAACTTGCTAAAGTTGCTAAAATGTCACCTATCATATCACCATTTTGGAAATAGCACTTTAACAAGTTGTTAGAGTGTTATTTTATGAATATTAAATTCATAAAAAGTAGATATCCCAAGTTGTTTAAACGTTATTTACGAAATCTTGGCTATTTCGATGAATCGAGTAAAAAACAACTATAAAATGAATTAAACTATTTTGTACAATTTCCAAATGTGTCCAAATTGTGGGCTTTAGTTCCAAGTTTTTAATTAACTGCAAACAAATATTTTTGAAGTTCTACTTTGCAAGCAGATGAGGTAGTTTGTAAGCCAAGGGTTATTACACATTTGAAGGTGGGGGCAAATCTCATACAAAAGTTTTCGAGGTTGTTTGTTTACCTCTTAATAGTTCTATTAAGAGATAACCTCTGAATCATTAAGAGGTGAATCTTGTTTAACAAAAAAAAAAAGTATGTCTCTTAATGGTTCTAAAACCCTTTGAATGATTTTGTATCCTGGATCTCCCTTAACCATTAAGAGCCCTAATTTCATTGTACACAATTACCAAACAATTATATTTCATTTTGCACTATATCATGAGAGCCTCTTAATCATTCTGCACCAAACCATTTAACAATTGCCAAACAGCCCCTTCATGTATAAGTATCCAATATCAACCTCTATTTCTTTTCCATACAAGATTTACCCAAAAAGAAAAAAACAACCCCTCTACCTTTTTATATCGATGACATGTCTACTTACATCCACCTCTAGATCCTGATGAGACAAGAATGTCAATTTCCTAGTTAAAAGCCTAATGGAACTTCGGGTGCTTTAATAAAATTCCAAACGGGAACGACGTCAATTTGAGTATCTTGTGGCTTTTTGAAGATGACCTTTAGGATGCGTTTGATACATGGACGAGACTGGACATGATTAGATGGGACTAGAATGGACGAGCTTGAGTGAAGAAAGCGAGCGAAGGAATTGTAGAACGTTTTTGGGTTTTAATTTGACATGGGTGGTTTAGTAATTTACCAATCTAGAGCAATACTGTCATAATGATTTTGCACATCATGCTCTAGATTAGTCAAATCTCGTATCTGGAGAAGGGGCTAACCAAAAGGAAACAAGACCCTTAATGCAAGTTACATCTCAACCTAACAAAGCTAGTATACCGCATGTTTGACCACTCCTTCAAGTTCTCTAGCATCATAAAACGAAAATATTATATTGAGCAAAATGCATCTAACAAATTAACGAAGTTTGTCTTAGTTCCTATTTAGTGTACCAAACTTTCAGTTCTTCCTAGTCTCCCTATGATCCTTCTAGGTGGCATCGGTTGATTTTGCCACATAATCAAGAAGTAGAATATAAATTTGCATCTACATCAACAGTTACAATCTCTGCCCGATTACCGCTCAAAATGTGTATGAAATAGGAAATACTGAACGCTTATTACACTAACCGAGATTTTTTTTATTGTTAAACTAAATAAGAAAGCAGACAAACTTCGTTGCATTTTGGACTCATTAAATTTGAAAGCAGGCATAGATAGAAGCTATAGAACTTTGTAGTAAAGAAAGGAACGTTATTGACCGATTTAAGTTCTACAACATCCATTTTGTACATTATATTGAATACGGCATCCTAGATGATGACATTTTTAGAGGCCTCATAATTTAATCTTGAATTTTCGAGCCTTAAAATTAGCTTAAATACAGGGAGATCAAAAATTGAGAAATGAGAACAAATTCGCTTACCACAGTTGCAGGAGAATGTATGCCGAAAAAGGGAACGATATCTACTTGCAACCAGTTCTCAACTGCAGACCCCACCACAGCACCAGCCACGAGACCCCCTATAGTTATCACGGTGGCCTTCCCTGAACACAGACAGATTACGCGATATTTAAAACAAATTCAATCAGTAATTATCGACAGGTTCCATGATGTAGAAAATGCTACATTCATCAACAAGAGTTCCAAGGACTCATTATGCTTCACACATAGATGATGATGATGATGATGAAGAGAGCAATCTAATTGCTTTGTTGTACGCAAGGCGGCTTAGGGGCTGTTTTCACCATCACTATTAGGTTAAGCGCTAACCGGGTGAGAGTGCGGTATGGGTCAACACTAATCACTGACTAAGAGTCCCTTCCTTAGCTTAGCATGTTAGCATCTCGGTCGGCATCATGGACTAGTGAGAGGGGGTTGTTAAACATCAGAAATATCTGACTAGGTAAGCGCCTTTTATCTGGCAAAAGTGATAAGCAGGTAGTAGTGGCTTTTACTTTAAATTTCTCCCCATTTTAGTACTGCCATCATTGGATTACAATTACAACAATTTCCTTTCGCGGATGTTCTCATGAATTGGAACATTTCATTTTTTGACAAGTTGTTAAGTTAGAATTACCTACTTGTCGTCTCAATAAACAAATTGATGGACTTAATCCGGGTTCAGTATATTCGTTTATTATCTTTAATAGAAGCATTCTAGATATTTGAGAAGTACTCAAATATTTTCCTAAAACCATGTCAAGTCAAACATTGCAATTTCGAGAGGCAGGAGTGCTATTTATTACTCCATCCGTCCCAAAATAAGTGTCCATATTTCTATTGAAGTTTGTCCGAAAATAAGTGTCCACTTTCAAAAAAAATCATGCATAGAAAATAAAGTCAAGAAGCGAGAACTATCATACCTAGCTTAACATTTCGTTTGGTCATGAAGTATAATGAAGCCCCAAAACTAGTTGCCAAGATAAGGCCTGGAACATCAGCACCTGAAAGGGAACCCACTGGAGAAGAGGCACCATTAACATAAGTTAACACAGCTAAAGCTCCATAGACTCCTGCCTCGATGCCCAAATCACGGGCAGATGGTGCTTCTACTGAAATGGGTGGATTTTTCAAGGCACCTTGCACCCACTGAGGCATTGATCCCATTTGAGGAGTATTTACAGGTTTAACATCAGCATAACGAATGCTACTATTTACAACTTTCCCAGCTCTCCTCTGTGATAAGCTCTGCATAAGCAGCATGTCATATGCGGCCTCCACCTGGAAAGTATTTAGACTATATTAGTAAGTTGGAAGCAATCACAATGAAATATACCGGCTTAACTTTTTCTTAACTAAAACCAGTTTTCAAAAATCATGAACATCGCAAACTGCTGGCTATTGATCAATAAGCGTGCGTTTGGTACATGGATGGGACAAGATGGGCAAAAGTGAGGTAGACGGGTAAAAGAATTGTGGAAGGCTTTAAAGTTTTAATATGACATGGATAGTTTAGTAATTTACCAATCTTGACCATCACCAGGATTTTTGTTCCACCTATTTTGGTGCGACATTTTTTTGTCCCCTTCACATCTTGTCCTGTCCTGGTCTAATGTCACGCCAAACGAGGGACAACATGTTTTTGTACTGTCTTGCCCCACATACCAAACACACCCTAACAGAAGTTTCCAATTTCAATGGGGAATCAATCCATGAACATCATTGTTTCCATGTTCAATTAGGAACCTATCCATTAACATTATTCTTATTGTTATCCCCTCTATCTGAAAGCTTTAACTCTTGCAAACTTAAGCTTTGATGAATGGTTATAGAATAATGGACCTTATGACACAATTGTTCTATATTTTTTAATTGGTTCAGCTCAGTTGCATGGGTCATCAGACATTCTTGAATCGATTATCAATTCTCTAAGTTCAGAAGTCAGGAGTTTAGCAACCCATGTGCATTACGATCTGGTATTATACTCTTCATGGGCTAGGTTGAACATGAACGTGAGCTTTAAACTAAAATTGCTGCTAGGATAACTAGCTGTCAAATTACAAGGTTCATATAAGTTGATGACTTTCACCTTTTCCTTTTTCCTTTTCCCTCATTTTGTTATTAAAAGTAGATAGATAAATCAAAGAATGCTTTCCATATCAATTTATGGAATCCAGGCAAGCCAATTGTAGGGGTCAGCTGGTCGGAACATAACATGGTAACTTGCAATTAGGTAAGAGAGGGAAAAGAATAAGTTTTCCAAATGGATTCTACTTAGGTTGGGTTTATATACTGATAATAGTTTTTTTTTATGCTCAGGCATTTCATTGTAAAATTTGTGAGTTGGCAAAACACACTAGTATATCCTTTCCAATCAACAATTAAAAAAAACATTGTTTCGCCATTCTCTTTTGTTCACTGTGATATCTGCCGTCCTTCAACTGTTCCAAACATTCTTGGGTCTATATGGCTTGTCACATTTAAGATAAATAGATATTGGATGTGACTATGTGACTCATGTTGTTCTTAATTTCATGTCCATGATTGGGAATGAGTTTGGTATGAAAATAAGGCATTTCAGTTCAAATAATACTAGTGATCACTTCAATATGATTCTCTCTCTGTATTCAGAAAGACAACATCATTCATGAGTCATCTTGTGTTGAAAAAAGAACTGATACCTCTGTAAGTACACTATAGCCATGTAATTTCAACATAATGTTCCAAAACGTTATTGGACAGATGTGGTCCTCACATCAGCCTATGTCATAAACAGAACAGCTTCAAGAGTCTTAGAATCCAAAAGCCTATTAAAAATTTCTACCTCACTTTCAAGACATCCTATCATCATTCGGCCTCACGCGTATTTTTGGGTAAACATCATTTGTCCACGTTCATGGTCACATTGAAAGAAACTAGATCCTAGAGCTCTCAAGTGTAATTTTAATGGATAAACACTCAAAAGGATCACCAGGTCATCATCCATAAAGTAGGAAACTATATGTCAAAATTGTTGAAAACAATCTGTTGTTCTCTACGCCTTACGTCTGGGGGGAGTTGTCTATAATTGCAGAACAAGGGCTTGATCTATCATCTGGCATACCATCATCAAAACCGAGTCTCCTACTCACAACTCTCATCATTTGCATCCTCAATCCATATAGTCAGTAGTCAAATAAAAGAAGTCTGGACAAATTTTGCTAATTTTTTTATTTGATCAAGTGTATGCATGTCAGGGAGCCCATTGTTGCAAGTGATAGTTGGGCTAGGGTAAAACTCACCCCCAAGAGCTAGCTCAAAGGAGAAGGGCGCCCAAACAACATATATACATGTATCTTGACAACCTAGAAATGTGGGACAAATATTCACTTTAACACCCTCCCTCATGAATAGCATGCAAGCCAGGACCCAAACAAACTAATAAAATTATCACATCGGCTGCAAAAGCCCGGTCTGATACCAGGATAAATAGGCTTAGGTAGAATTCACTCCCAAAAGCTAGCTTAAAGAAGAAGGGTCCCCAGACCACATATACAAATATATGTATCTTGACAACCTGGTGATGTGGGACAAATACTATTTCAACAGTAACAAGGAAAGAACTGAACCAGGCTTTGGAAATGAGGCAAGCACTATTAGCCAAAATTCTCCTCCCTCACAAGAATCTAAACCCCATGATCCTAAGTATGAGCCAACCAAAAGACCCTTATAGCTCATTATGTTGTCCTTTCAGAACCTGTACCAATCTCGTAAATGTTACCATTCATCCTTAAACACAATTTCCATTCCTAACTCATTGTCTAAGACATTATCCAAAGAACAGTGGCGACTTGCCATGCGAGGCGAGATGGAAGCACCTAAAAAGAATGAAACTTGGGAGTTGGTGGAATTGCCTAAGGGGAATAAACGTGGTGTTCGTTGTGAAGCTTTAAAGTGGACAAATCCTAGAACACTATAAGGCAAGACTAGTTCCAAAGTGTACACACAAGCATATGGGGTTAATTACCAAGAAATATTTGCTCTGGTATCAAAGATAAATGAAATACAGATTCTGTTATCTTTAGCTGCAATTTTGATTGAGAATTAGAGTCATCTGATGTCAAAAAAATGCTTTTCTACACGATGAATTAGAAAAGCAGTTGATGAGGGCTTGTAAACCTATTAGAATGTTTCCTTAGTGAGACAACTACCTTCTCACCATCCCTTGAAATGTTCAAACTCTGTTTTTTCCAAGAAGATGCAATTGACAAATATTTTCCTTTTCAAATGATTACTTGAATCCACTATCCTAAGTTTTGACTTAGATGATTGTTCCCTATACTAGGCACCAACTAGCCACAGTTATGCACTTCATATCATTAAAGATTATAAATAATGTGGAGAAAGATAAAGAACCTTATCTTTACTACAGAACTCACAAAATGCACAAAAAGGGCTTGAGAAGGAAAGATGTATGTAACAAAACAAATCCCCCAATAATCCTACCAACAATGGCACTCCTCGTTGATAGGTCTATTTTCTGAAGGTCTATGCTGCAAGCAGGGAGTTATGCTACTTGATACTTGCACATGTGCATGGGGCGTTGATCTATTAAAATGGAGTTTCCATCCATTGAAATTCATGGTAGACTAATGAAGCTATACTGATCAGGATATCAGGTAGTTCTGAAACCAAGTGGTAAACCACCTTACGCCAAGTATGACATCTGGGATCCAGCTCTTGTTGAGCTCCCTTAAAGTAAGCTAAATTAGTCACCCAAAATACTTCAGTAATCAAAAGAGCAAGGACGGTGCAATGGTTTGATTTCTAGAACGCCTACTTCACAGTTTAAACTCAACTAGCTACCTCAGATAAGCCAAAAACCAAACATGCCCAATCATAGGCCTTCAACTCAGTTAGTTAACAAAAGGAAAACAACATTACATTATTATATCTGGTGCTAAGAGACACTATCAGCTATAAGTTGCCAATATCACTCAGGCATCACCAACAAATATCTGTAAGTAATCCGTAAATTATTACGTAGATGCCTAGAAAATCTAGCATAACGCAATATCTTATCTCAACATGATATAACTCTTTTTAGAATAGAATTAAAGTAAAACGATTGAAATAGTGAAGCACAGAACCCAGCCAATGTCCCTTATGCAATTGGTAAACACAAGTATTAAGTAGATAAAGTGCTGAATACCGAAATGCAACATTTTTCCACCATCAACCTGACTGGTTAAAAAACTTTAGGCTCAAATACCAGTGACTTCTCAAGATTCACCATTCAATATGTGCATGAACGAAGAAAATGGCCAACATCATCATATACCATAAGCATCTTTAATGAAGTTCAAGCCCAAATCATTAACTTTAAGTTTCTTTAACTCCATATTTGTTCTAATCATAGTTCCCACAGTCGTGTCAAATTAGGCAAAAACCACATAGCCCTAATTTAGAATTTAAATGTGATTCAATCCAATATACCATCAAAATAAGCAAGTTTAATCGGAAATCCTAAAAGATAAGAATAACTTTCACAAACTTGCAATAAAAACTAAGAATATTTTCAGAAACTTTACAAGTAGAAGTATAATTAAAATCTAATACGATCGTAGGAAACTAAAATTAACCTGTGCAATCGACTCTTGGTCGTCTTTACAAGCAGCTAAAACCGAATTCTTAGCTCGGAGTATATCATCAAAAGAAGCTCCTTCCGACACGCCTAACAAATTCAAAGCCGTCTCAAGAGACATCTCGAACGACGATTCGTCGGCTGCCGAACCACCGCCGGCGGCGAGGACAACGAATCTTGATAATGAGGTGCGGCGAGAAGAGGATGATGTGAGGCCCAGTCCATCTGGCTTGAATAATTTTCCAACGGCGTGGTTGGTGGCGGTGGTAAATGAAGGTCGGTGAGGGGGGATTTGACCGGCGACGCCGAGTAGGGAGGCGCGAGTTGGACGGGCGGAGAGAGGAGTGGTAGCCATACGTGGACGAAAAATCGGTTGGTTGTTTTTGTTCGAGTGGGTGGGTGTGTGTGATTGGTCGTATCGTAGAGTAGAAGGGGGACTATTTTGCTTCCAAGTTAAAGCTTCTTAAATTTCGTTAAATATCCTCCGATCTATTTTTTTTAAATAAATAAATAAAATAAAAACTCTTTTAAATTAAAATTAATTGTTATTACTTTTTTGTAATACTTATGATTTATGAATGGAAAATAGGTCAAAATTTTAGTTTTATTTAATTTAGAATATTTAAAAAATAATTTTACAATGAAACTAAAAACAAAGTTTTGAATTTTATGTTATGGACTAAGTTGGACTCCCGTAAAAATGAAAGTTATGATGAGAAACGTGAGAATGGATCTCCACCATTGGATCAATCCTAATTGAAGATCAACATTAATGAGATGCACGAGATACACATGATGAATACTCACTGTACCTGCTATTCTCTCACGATCCTTCGTTGTTTATCCGGTAAGCATCTACAGATAAAATTCAATCATATCACTTGCCTTACCAGGTACAATTCTAATTTATCAAAACGGCATCATATACAATATTTCAACCAATAAGCGCTAACTGGGTAAAAGTTGTTATTCTTACTTATTGGTTAAGGCTATCAGTCATTGTCATTGTTTTTACCAGGTAAAATTATCAGTTTTTATCATGTTGATCCGATAAAGTAAGTGACTCGATAAACACTTTTTGTAACGTTGATAATCGGCTCTTTACAATTTAACACGACGTTTTGTTTTTAAAGTATATAATTTAATAGCTATTTTATGTGTTATATAATTAAACTCTAAGTTACCACATGAACTTTAATATTTTATTACTAAACTATAGCAAAAAAAAAAGCCATATTATTATTTGAGTGTAAATAATAAAATATAATATGTAAATGTTACCTTATTAAATTCAATTTTTTATATTATTATTAAATGATGTATATTTACTAAATTATATAGTTAAATACGTGTTAAAAGTTATAAAATAATTATTGATATTGAAATAAGAGCAATTTGTAGTTTTATACGTGTGTAATTGTAAAAATAAGAAAGTTCAATTGTAAATATTTTTTTTTATTGTGAATCATGGGATAAAGGAGAGCGCGACATGTGTTCCTGGTTGTCCATATTCATCATGAATAATGAACGTGAACTATTCATGATGAATAAGTTGTGAATATATGGGATACATGCATGCTCTTTTTTGTCCCTTGATTTACAGAGAAACTTAGATTTTTAATTAGACCCGTCACTTACAATTAGGAAAACCATTGGTTTTGTAACACCCGTGTTTTTGGAAAATTTAATTTTCATGGGTTTAATGTGTTATCTGATGACCATCAGACGTGTTACCAAATTTATGTGCATTTTATGATTTAGAGCAAAGCTGGATGGTCAAAGTTTAATAAATCGAAGTTACTTAGATATTTCAGGTATAAAACCCCGGACCTCCTACATTTCATCTTTCAGGTCATTCAAAGAGTTCGAGGAGGAAGAGAAATTCATTTTCTTGCAAAAATAAACTGTGTCAAGATTCAAGAAAGAAAAAGTTGGTGTTGGTGGATTGAATAGTTTGCTTGAAGATTGGAACTCATAGTCACCATTAAAGCTTCCATTTGAGCTCAACCAAGGTGAAACTCCAGAACTTAGGTTTCTCCTTTTTGATCAAAATCTTGGATTCACGGTGTTGGGAGCTCAATGTTGGAGCTGCATGGGTTGTATTGTATCTATTTTTAGTAGATACAAGTTTAAAGAACACATTTTCTTCTTTCAAAAGGTTTAGCCACGTTTTTGGGATGCAGTGTTCATTTTGGTTGTTGTCCAGATCTTGTAAAAATCATAATTAATCGGTTTGAGGCATGTTATATCTCTGGAACCATTGAGATGTCCTCTGCTACAAACTATACGTTTTGAGGACTTTAAGTTGGTCAAAATCGAGTTTAATAGAACAACTCTGAATTATGACAGGGTTAAAATAGTGTACAAATATTCATATAAAATTGGTTCTAAATCCGTTGAGGGTGATTCTTAATGGGTTGGAATGGTCAAAAGATTGTCTAAATATTTTGTTTAAAGTTTTTTCATTGATTTAGTGATTACGCATGGTTTATCTAGGTAGCAAGAACATTATGCAAGTCGGATGAAACTGAGTTTAACATAACCTAGCAAGGTGAGTTTCAAATTGTTTAAGAAAACTTTGTACATGCCAAAAAATGTGTATTTTGGAGTCTTAAAGTGTTTTTCTTAAGATTCAGCAAATGTTGTTGGTTACTTGATGAAATTGCATCTATTGCACATTTGGTTTTATAAGATCTTGAGAAGTACGTATATGTGAAGTTTCTTTGGCATTTTGATAATAAATTATTAAGTGTGTGGATTTTGATGATTTATTTCTCATATGAGATTATTTGATGTTAATGCATAAATCATTCGAAACGGTTGAGTTTGTTAGGTATATTTTGGGTATGATTACTTATTAGGAAATGCTTCGTGAAGCTGTGGTACGTTTTGAGATTTGCCTAACTTTTGAATCGTTAATAAAGAAATTCAAACTTTTAGGGCATAAGTTGTATAAACATTGAGTATTTGTATTTTATTTGTTTATATTGACTTTTATTTGATAGTCAAACAAGTAGTTGAGTTATTAGCTTAGTTTGATTCAGATGAATTTTGAGGACATTTATCCGGTTTAATTTGCTCTATGTCGAGCTTTGAGAATTATACGCAGTTATGACATTTATTTGGAATTTACATGTTTTGAATGCATTGGTCATTCAATTAGAGTCATGTAATTTAGACTATAAGTTATACTGATAGTTACCATGCTTATCCGGTAAACGCTTAATCGATAAGAATTCAAGCTCAATCTTCTAATTGATGATTAGACAAAAAAAAAAAAAACTTTAATTTCATGGTAAACTAGCCCCATGGTTTGTTTCAACACATTATCATGTTTGATTATTCAATAATGACAAGGGAGAGGGGAGGACATGAATGATGTGAATCCATTTGATTGGTGGACATGTAATACATAAATTGGATTTTACAGCAAGCTGTTGAAAGAATTCTCGAAAGTTTTAGGATTTTAAGTTGATACAAGTAATTTAATAATTTATCAAACTTTGTTCCACCCACATCGGTGGGACAGAAAAATACTCATTTGTCAAGCTCGAGTCATGTCCGGTCTCGATCTAATTTCATGCCAAAAATAACACAAGTTTTTGTACTGTTCTGTCCCGTATACTAAATGCACCATGGGGCACAACAGAGCATGTTTGTCGTTTAAACAAATTCAAAATGAATAGTCTATGCCACAAACCATTAAGAACGCATCTATCGTATCAGTTCCAGAAAGGGACACAACATAAAATGTAAAACCATAGTCTCAAATCAAATTAACCACATCGAAACTCGAAAGTCTGATTTTCTGATAAAGAGAATAAATCGAGCGATAACCCAGAATTTAACTTTAACATCTTGAAAATATTCATACGAACACGAAAACAAAAGCTTACCTCGATGATTGCTAGAACGATTCTGATTCTGATCCTGATTAAAAATCGTCATCGTCTTCCTCAGCAATATGCTTGGCAAGTTCTTGTTCCTGTTGTTGCCTCTCTCTCCTCTTTTCGGCACTTTCTTTCTCCTTGTGGGAGTTGGGAGGGAACCGAAGGGCACGAACTGCCTCGTTATGCATATTTAGGCAAAAAGCAATCCTGGAATTGAAGGCGAGTTGTGGCTCATTTGTGGAATAAATGTCACCGGTTTCTTTTGACACCATCCATCCGTTTGCATGATCAATTGTTGCATCAATGGCACCATCACGGATTGCCTTGGACACGATGCTTTCGGCATCGGCAACGGGGTTCGGCGAGTCGAGTCTCAACTTCTTTGCAATGTCAACAAGCGAGATACGGGAGTAGGAAATGCTGATGTTGCGGAGTCCGGTCCTTATGACGTTGTGGCGGAGTCTCACAATCAAGTTGTTGGTTCGGTCTGAACTGAAAGTGGTTGAGAATTTCTCGGCTACATTTTTAAACAGCTCTAGATCTCCGATTCTAACAGCCTGAAAACCAAGAACTTGTGTGTCACAAAACCCGAGAACATGCCTTCGTGTATATAGACCGACAATGGATAGAAATATAGAATGACTGCTAATTATTCTATTTTATTGAATTAAGGTAAGTTTCGATATGCTTGATATCATGTTATTTGGATAATGGAATTGAACCTAACCAAAGGGAAATATCTTTGACCTTGACCGATTGTTGAAGCAAAATAGGGCAAGCATGGTGCACCAAGGCTCGATCAGCTTTCAGTGACTCGAATAGATGACCTTTTAGCCATCAAGAAGTAACAATACTAGTTGCACCAAGGATTGACCCATTGAAGCAAGTTTCATACGAAATAACATATCTTGTAAAAAGATACTCCCCCTCTCCCAAAATAAGTGTCCCCGTTTCTAATTTTTAATTTGTCCAAAATAAGTGACTACTTTCAAAAGCAAGTGCTCACTTTCCAATTCTACCCTTAATTATGAGAAGGAGAAATTAATTACTCCCTCTATTACTAAGGGTAAAATTGTCATTTAACACAGTTCTAAAATAGTATGCATTTTTCATTGTGGACATTTATTTTGGGACGAGATGATGGGACCACTAGAGTTCAAAAGCGTAACTGGGTGTTGATAAAACTCACTCACATTCGTCAGCTCAAAGTATGGCCTCAAGGCCTTCTCCATGCCTTTTTGCATGAAGACGGTTCGTTCAGGGATCTCTCCTAGAAGTAAGCGAACAATCACAGCCCACTTATTGCATTGAACTCGGAAACCAAGAGCAGCTACAGGTGCTTTACGAGCAGCTTGAAGAAGGGATTCCTTTGCATCAGTGTACTCCAGCTGAATTGTTCTAATTTTGCCAAGGTAAAAGAGGTAGCGGCAAAACTGAAACAGAGAATAAAGAACGAAAGAGCAAACAAAAGATAAAGTTAATTAGACGTTCACCCAAGCTCAATTTCACATGACTTGTTAAAGAATAATCATCGGTACAGTAGACGAAACTTGACCACTAATATTGATTGACTTCCATTGACCTTTTGCTAACTTGGTCAACATCAGCTAGTTTACCTAAAGTCTGATCTGATTGATGGTGTTGATGGAGCACCTACCTGGTCAGCATTATTTATTTCAGTTACCAGTCAGCACAAAATGATAAAGGTATTTTGTTGGTAAGCACTTGCTACTGGTAAACAACCATTTCCAATCAGCACTTACCCAGTTAGCGCTGACACAATTTATGTTGGTAAACGTCCCCTAAGTCCCAAGTAATACGCTGATTCACAAACTAGTGTCGTTTTTTACACGGATGCTGGTGCTATAAAGTATGGCCCATATACTAATGGCCTTGGATGCGAAATGACACATTAAAAGAACAAAAACGCAAGATAGGAACAGAAAGTTCAGGTTTCTCGTAAAGAACATGCCAACGCCTTTCCGTAAGACTAAAACATCTAAGGATCATAAAACCAACAACTACTTGCCGTAAGTTGTGAACCAACAACCCCGTTCAGATTGGAAGCCTAAAACTGAGCTTTATAGTCAATGAACAAATTAAATGCTATGTGTTTCACGTTATGGACAACTTCGCAAGCTCACACAATTCATAACTAGAGATGAGGGATACAGCAGCATACTTTCCAAATGGACAACAATATAGGTGACTACCAAGTATCATAAGAAACTTTAACTGTTGGACTGCTAGGGTTTGTTTGGAAGACAGACGGGATAGGACACGACTGGATGGGACAAAACTGCATGGGTAAGAGTGAGGTAGGCGTGAAGGTTTTAGGGTTTTAATTTGACATGGGTAGTTTAGTAATTTACCAATCTTGTCACGTCTTAATTTTTGTTCCACATATTTTGGTGGGACAAAAAAATTGTATTTTTGTCCCACTCTAAATGTCGCACCGAACGTGGAACAAGTTTTGTTCTGACCTGACATGTCTTGCAGACCAAGCGCACCCCTACAGAACCATACTGTGCCACAACTAATATCTTCCTTTTTTTCTAAATAAATGCAATATCACACTCTCAGGTTCCATAACTGGCAGGTGGCAAGTAATTATGAATGAGTTTGAACTATGATATCATGAGAGTGCACATGCCCCAGAAAAAAGGTCACACAAACAAGTAGTTGCTTATCTATCTAATTGAAAAGCAGAAAGGGGAATGGAACACGTCCCACTTTAAAGTGAGTTTACATCCCCCCCCCCCACATCAAAAGCAAAATAGGTAATCAAAAGACGTAAATGATGATTCAGTCAATTTCAAAGAATACCTGTTGATTTGAATGAGCTTCAAAACGTGGTGCCTTTGACCTCAGCTTTTCCGCTTGATCATACAAATTGTAATGAAGGTAATTGCGAAGTAGCAGGTTGAGGAGTGTTTCCTGTGTATCAGAATCCCAAATTGATGGTCAAAGGTATCCCCAAGAACTACTAACAGCAACAAGAGAAGAAACAAACCTGCCCCAGCTCATCATGGCGCAATGTAGCAACCCGGTGCAGAGCAAGAAGATTACTGCAAATAAATGACATGGTCTTAATTGTGCAGAACGAACTAACAGTCTAACAGTACTTGATTACATGCTATCTCACAGTAAGTTGCCCCCCCCCCCTCTCCCTACTTCACTGAAGCATTGACAAAAAAAGAGTAGAAACAAGTATAGCACGCACCCCCGAATTTCAGAGAGGTCGCCAGTAAGTTCGTAGCTAAGAGAGTAATAGAAGTAGAGTCTGGATGCCAGAACATCAACTGTTCTCCTGTTCAAGTTCTTTAAACGGGCAATGCTTGCCGAGGAACAAGCCTTAGCCTGCATGATGAGTAAAAGTAAATAAGTGATGTTCCTCAACCAACAATACAGCCTAGAACATGGCAACATGCAAGCCTAAACAACCATATTAAACATGCTGACCTCACTGTATTTTTTCTGATCAATCAGGAATATCAGCACAAGCAAGTAGCAATAAATCTCGAGCTCTGGAGAATGCTTCACTGTAGCTTGAGTTGCAGATGATGCGGTATCAACTTCCATATCATTTTGATCATCCTTTACAGAACATAAAAACAACGTCAAGGCTAGAGATAAGCTAAGATTTATCAATGGTAGTCCAGCTTTTTCTTTCACATTTCCCATTAAGTAGTTAGGCCAGAAGTCCTTTCTATACTAAATGTACCCCTATTGGGAATCAATTTACAGCTTAAAAGGTTAGAGCTTAGCCTTGTAATAATATTAACACTAGACCGTCCGTTCATACGGGACCAAATTAGTTAAGGACATATGCTTGTTAATTGAGCTCAATAAGTCTGTAAGTGGAAGCCAAACTTAACAGTGTTTATCATTATCCATACGCTAGATGTGATAACTTATCCTCTCAACATCAACACCAGATGGAATTAATGAAATAAGATCGGAAATAGTCTTTCACTTCACATACCAGATAGAGATTACTTTTTCGTATAAAGCCATGTTTCATATAGAAACCTAGAACAATTGCATCCTTCCTCCAATTATATCATCTCCTATCGCAAATACTTTTACTACATCTCCTTAAAGTTCATTATTGAAAACTTTTATTCAAGTAACAAGAAAATCATCTTATGTATGCCTGATAAATTCATCACAGCGAAGCAAGGAGAAAAGTTTTCAACAAGGGCTGCAGCTCTGTATGAAGCAAGCCTCAAAAACAAAAGAAGTCCTCGGTTTGGCTGTTTATAAATAATGCTCAAGTTTTATCAGTTTCATAACATTTTGGCAATCCTCCTGGGCATATCAAATGACATGATCCAAAATTGTCCAGCTTTAGCTAGTTCGAATCAGGGTTTTAGAAAAACTCCCTCAATATACATTCTTGTTCCCTAACCTATAGATACACTGTTGAAATTATAGAAAATAAATGCAGAAAATAGAATGAATGACGGTAATACATACTTTACTCCATTCATGATTCATGAAATTTAAGAGCCTTAAAAGTATCAAGCTTGAGTCACTACAGGAAGATCTGAACTTGACCAAACCCTATATCAAGCTCACTCAAGCACCTTGTGATAGATACAAGTTTATTTGCAACCAACAAGCAACGATGGAGGTTACGCCTCCCTTACAACAGTTATAGTAGTATTCCTCAAGCATATCCCAGATGATGTTATTGTAATTATTCTCTTTGAAATTTCAATGTCACTATCCACCACACTACTTCTTTAGAACAACAAGCCTTATCAAGAACTAGTTGAGATACTCTTAACACCTAAATCTCTATAAAATCTAGAGAGTTGAAAGCCTAGCATATAACATCCTTCTATGCACTCCCACGTAAGGTGCCTTCCTTAGGTATATTCTACTCAATCTTGGTCAACCTCTACCTCTCCAAACGGACGCCTGTTGGTACAAGTCTCTTCTACTAATTGATGCTTCAGAGGTCTACCTTGGACATGAGAAAACCATCTTAACAGGTGCTACCTCAATGTCTCTTCAAAAGGCATCATTCCAAGATTCTCTCATATAGTTTAGTCATAATATTGTACCTTGAAGCATTTATTAAGCAGCATAGGCATCCTTTCTTGACATACCCTAAGAAGCTCTCTGAAAAATTAGACTTTGTGTTATCATCCAGAAATGTTACATTTCATGCATTCAGGTTTGAATAAGCCACATTGATTTCCTCCACTAATCCACTTACTTAACCCTTTCTTTTTTCGTGTGTGTTTGGATCATCAGGAACACCCTAAGGGGCTTGAGAAGAATCAACTACAGGACATCATACTTGGTGTATGCAGCATGTAAGCAACAAAGGTTGAACCAGATAATCATGTTGTAATCTCACGCAAACTTATGTTTGTTCCTTCTCATGAGTGATTACCAAGTTTGCCACCATCCTTAATGTTACCTCATAAGAAGTTGAAAAGTACACACTGAAACTTTCTAGACCCATTTTTGTAAGTTGTCTAAACAATTTAAATCCAATCCACTTCACTGAAAGTCATAGGTGACAACATATGATGGATCGCATCTGAGTTCTTTAGATTGTTTTCAAGTCCAAAATGTTCTATTACAACTTACAATTACGGAATTACCAAACCATATTCATGTCAATTTAATGGAATTAACACGAAATTCATAAACTAAAAATAATATACAATATTAAAGAGACATAGGCTTTCTTTTCTATCACAGAACATCCATTTCAAGTTTTATTTCTATAACCTCACAAGTGGGGAATCGGGATACAACCACTCATGTTTCTCAATGTTCACCAATTGATTTGTATCTACTATATAATTGACGAGTTGAACATCCATAACTAGTCATCAGAAAGCAACTATCCTAATGTGAGACAGAATATCTAGGTGGGCATGTGCTAACTGTTTCCTTTCTATTTAGTACATCAATTTATAGGCTGAGCTCATTAGGAGCTATATTAGTTGTATGCATCAGCATATACCATATAGTTTAAGAAACATATGGATATAGTAATTCTCTAATGCTTACAATCTCACCACAAATCCAATTTACCTCTGGGTTTAGCCCCTTATGCAGGTATTTACCCTAGAGAGATATTCCCTTCCATTTATCCATGAAATCGAAGAAAAATAATGCTTGAACATGTAAGATGCTAAGATTCCAAGTAAAGAGACACCTTTCAACTAGGCTATCAGCTAGAGCCACTGAGTCCCAATTCAGGTGATTGCGATTTGCTCAAGCGTCTCATCTTGGACATTTGGTCACAAATTATACAAAAGAAGCTTTTCTAGATAACACTACCATTTTTGTTACTTCTCAAGTTATTTCTTCATCATCATTTTCCACTTTATAAGCACTTCCCTTGATCACAATTCACACATCGCTAAAATGCAAGGTCTTTGGTATTAAATTTTCCTGATTTGCAAGCAAGTACAATATGCAGTCAACTGCACATTGACATCATGCATCACAGTGAGGTCTTCTCAAAGATAGGGCAGCACTTCCGAACCTATGCCAACCAGCAGTGCAAGTACACAAAATCCAAAAAGAAGTACAAAATCCTTCTAAGGCTACCCATTGCATATATTTATTGACAAGAAGTCACAATGGCTCTTAGTGTAATCTCATGAGGTGATGCCATGTACTAAAAATTGTAGTGGCTGCCTACCGGCTATGGCTTTACAATCAAAATATATTAAACTTGCACCTGGCATTAGGATGGATGACCAAATAGTACAAAAATTCAAATGACGTAAAAGCTAACCTTTGGCAGATATGAAGATAGCCGAGTGTGTGTTTCAGATCCAGGTGCAAGAGCAAAATTGAGGAACGAAGAAACCACGGAAGCCTTTAACTTCCTCCTCAATGCAATTGTCAGCCTAACAGCCCTCAAAATCCGACGAACTTCACGAGCATAAGCTCCCGCCTCAATCAATGCCGCAATTTCCTTCAAATCTGAATGTCAATTTGACAAAGGTTCCGCACGAAAATCCAAAGTTGTCAATAACTCATGCTTTACTTTCATCTAAACACTAAATAAAACAAGTACCAGCACCAATTCATTCGATTGATATCAACAGTCTTTAACATCCAATGCTCATAAACACGGATTCGAAACTAACTCGTCCGAAAACAATATCAAATGAAGATAAATTAAATGATATACCAAAAATAGACAAGATTTCATCGACCCTTACTCTGTAAAATAGGAGTGGGGGATGAAACGGAATTCGAAGGAGCTGCCGGGATCTGCTGCTCTTTCATCTCAACATCCTGAGTCATTCTTTTCTGTAAAATTGCAATCAATTTATACAAGATCAAAAACACCGAGCAACAAACATCAAAACTTCATGAACTCGATTCTAACCCTAAAAATACCTGAATGAAGATCTATTGCAATCGCTCGATTTTAAAGCTTTTGGAGCAATCAGCAGGGGAATTAGGGCAGCTTTTGCCCCAAGTTAAGTCTGGTTTCATTCTTTGAAGTGTTGTTATTTACACTTTTAGCCCCTATACTATTGAAAAAGGATAGATTGGGTCAGCTAATTTTCAAAATTTGCTCCATGTCAGCCCCCAACAAATAACCATTCATTATGGTCGTTTTAACGGGTTTGTGAACATAATGATAGTAGGAGTATCAAGGGATGAAAGTCAATTATGTCAAATAAAATTAATTAACATATGATTTGGTGGGTCCTTATAATGCCTACCGGATGTGTTTCATGTTCTAACCGAATGTTTGTAAGTTAAATCAGAGCAGTTAAATGTATGATCGGCTAAAAATCTGATTAGTTTGTCAAATCAATCAGCCCAACTTAACAATAACACACCTAATCACCGTCTAATACAATATAACACCCAACCCCTTCCCCCTCTCAAAATGTATCAGGTATATTTTAATGTTGAAGCTATAAGTGGTGTTTGGTTCGTAGATGGAATTTAAATGTTGAATTTCTTTGGTTATATTTTATTTCATCGTTTGATTCATTCTTTTTTTTTAGGAAAAGGATCTTTAAAATCCAATGAATTCCACAAATAAGGGTTCGCTTGATTTGCAAGATTGTTTTTGAGGGATTTGGTTTATATGGAAGAATTTAGATTTGGATTTGATTGGATTTAGAATCATTTATTGTGTTTAGTTTGTAGGATTTGGAATGGATTTGAAATCAGTTCCTTTGTACGTCATGTTTGATTTGTAGGATTTGGATTGTGATTTAATTTTATAAAGAATTGCAACCCAACCACTGTCTGCACCACCCACAATCTCCCTTTCATCCCAACCCTCCTCCTTAACTCATCGTAAACCATCCCTCCCGTCAACCTCAACACCCAATTCGCAAACCCACAACTAGTAGCTATCACTCCCACCATCTCCATATTCACTCAAAATCTATCATAAAAATACTCTGGAATTATATTATCCATCGTCAATTCCACTCCAAAGCAGAACTTGTATGCTAATCCCAAAACCCAACCTCAGTAATTCGTTATTCATATGGAGCCGGCGAAGGCGGCGACGTCGGTAGTTTCGACGTGGTGGGGGAGAGAGAGATTTACCCATAGAGAAAGGAGAAAGACAATGACATCAATAAGGGAGGACGGTAGCGATGCAGACGATGGAGGAGGGGGCAGGGATGGCGAGGATTTCCAATTAACGCAGCGACGATTCATATGGAGCGATGCGTCATTTTTGTTCAAAGGATTTACAAAAGGAAGCGTAGCGACTAGGGCAGGAAGTGTTTCATGAAATCCAAATGGGATTTGGATTTGAAATACCACCCCTTTTTAAAGGATTTCCAAATCCATGAGTTACGGGGATTTCAAAGGAATTATTGGATTTCAAATCCTGACAATCCGGCAAACCAAACATGGGATTTGAATGGATTTCAAATCCAAATCCCCCCAATTTCATTCTATTCATGCAAACCGAACGCATCCTAAAGGATTTTTGAATATTCTTTGGCAATAAGATGATATTCTGATGGAATGAAATGTTATAATTTCATTCCTTTTTATATATTTGGGTTGTATATTTTGTATTGTTTTACATATTAAGTTATTATTAAAATATTTAGTTTAAAAAAAATCAAAATTTTGATAAAAATGTATTGTTTGGCAAACATAACCGAACTTAGTTTTTATTTTTTGGATACACATTTAGATGGACATAACCTAACTTATTGAAATGCTAGTTGAAATAACTTATAAGGAGTTTTTTTTTTTTCCACTTTTTCCATTTATAACCCTCATTAATGTTAATTATTATATATTACTAGTAATTATAAATAAATATAAAAAATTAACTAATAGTAATTAATATTTGTTGAAAATTACTAATTTATTTTAATTATACATTATCCATTATTATAAATTATTTAGAATTGTTATTAATCGTATCGATTGTGTTTATATATTATTTTTGAAGTTGTTATTAAATATATTTAGTTATCAAAAATCAAATATAATAATTCTAATAATGTTTATGTAAGTTTCATAAAGATTAAAGTTATACTTATTTTGTTTTATAAATAACAAAATTATGTTAAATAATTTTAATAAAATCTTTAATTTAGTTCTTAATTATATTAATTAATTATGATATGTGAGATTGACTAATTTTACTTTTGTTCATATTATATATAATTGGTCATTTACAATCATGAATCAATATATTATTTTTTTCTAAAATTTGTTTAAGCAAATCTGGAATTTCTATTATACATAATAATCAATTTAAAAATCTTTTAACTAACAAATTATATTATTTTAATTTTTCCTTGCTATACTATTTGTATTAATTAACATCTTATATTATTAAATATTTGTTTTAATTGTATTATAAAATATTGTAATTGACTAATTTTTTAAGATTTTTTTTTGGTTATTTTATATGTTTATCAGCTGGTTTTTTTTAACATGATTTGTTCACTAGCTAGTTTATTAGTCATCAACTAACTTATCAGTTAGTTTATCAACTAATTTGCGAAACATAACCTTACTATTTGTGATAACCGGGTTCGTTGTTAAAAAGTTTGAGGTGAATTTTGAATATTATGTTAAGTTGAGGGATGTGTTTTAAAAATGAATTTAAAATATCATAAATCCACCGCCTCTTGTCTCTCCCTCTCTCTGTGTATAGGGAGAGATTAGCGATCAAATACAAATAACTCATATTTGTATAAACCGTGTAAATCATCATCATTCGTCGATTCCATTGTTTAATTTTGTGAAATTATTTTAATGAAATTGTTTAATCTTATGAAATTGATTCATATAATATTTTTTTGATAAAATTGTTTCATATATGATTTTGAATTTTTTCATATATTACTTATGAAATTTTAATAAAATTGTTCCATGTATTTCTTTAAAATTAATATAATGAAGATGATAATATCCATGATTAACACCCTTCACAGTAAAAATGATTAATCAACCTCACATAATTACAAAAAAAAAAGGAACAAAATGAAAAATTATGATTTGTTGAATGAGGTTTGTACGATTTGTACAAATAACGTGGTTTGTAAAGTAAACGTTTCTCTCTCTCTCTATATATATATATATGTGTGTGTGTGTGTGTGTGTGTGTGTGTGCTCGCGCGCGCATATTTCTTTATTATGGAGAGTGTTAAGAGATAAGAGAGAAAAGTTGAAGGTTGTGGTTTCCTTGGTTCGAAGCAAACAGAAACCGAAGAAAGAAAGAAGAAGATATGATGTTGTGTTCATATCTAATTATTGTTGTTGTATTATATCTGCAATCTACGTGTGATTACAAGCTGAGTTTTATTTCAAAGTTTTAATTGAAATATTTTATATGGAATTGTATGGATTCATACCTGGGTGTTTTTTAATATGATTATATGTTATTTTTAGCATAATAATGAGATTTGATATGTTATTATCATCTTATTGTAATAAATGTGACATAATCAGGTGTTAGATATATCTTGTAATAAGGGTGACATAATCATGAGCTGAGTATACTTGAATAGGGGTGACATAACCAATTTATGGATTGATGATCTTTTGATCATGGGTTATTGTTATCGCATTTTTATGATGTGATGAGATTGATTATCGCATAATATAATGCGATGAGATTGGGATTTGAAATTGAAGTGTTATTTTATCGCATCCTTGTCATGTGACATGTTGGGTTTATCGCACCAGTGTGATGCCAGAAGTTATGTTTATCGCATCTATATGGTGTGACAAGTGGTGGTTATCACATCTATATGATGCAACAGTGGTGCTTATCGCATTCTTATGATGCGACAAGATTGGTTATCACATCAACATGATGCGAGGAAAATGATTATTGCATTCTTTAGATGCGACAAGTGGGTTATCGTATGTGTATGATGCGATAAAATACGTTATCACATCAATAAAATGCGTCAATTTGGTGTGTTATGTGTTGATGCGACAAGTTTGATATCTCACTGAGTTTGATGCGATAAAAAGGGATTGTCTCATCTTTATGATGCGACAAAAGAAGATTTGTTGAAATAAATCTTATTTTTCATGATATATTTGATGATGGGCTTTCCAAAAAGTTTTTTTATGCTTTTCATCCTGTAACAGGCTAATAGCAATCAAGAGGATTACTCACTAGACCTTATGATATAACTCTCGTTTTGTTTTAAAAAAATATGCATTATAGGTCGGACACAAGTGGAAGGAAAAAGGAAGAAAAATATGTGAAGGAGATTATTATTCCTTTACATTTGTGGATTTTTGGGAAACTGATATTTTTTTGTTGATTTAACAAAGTTTGAAATTATGCTAAAAGCATACAACTATTTTTCTTACTTGAAATTAATTTTATATAATAATATTTCGTTGCCTAAAAATTGCAATAATGTTTATATTGCTATTATTTTATAAAATGGTAAATCATATCAAAACAATTTCACCTTAATTTTGTTCCTTGTTATTCAATAAAATAATTTTCAAAATTTTATTTTACGGAATCAACTTTTAGAACATTTACTCTTAAAAAAACGAACTTTCAAAAATTCAATCAAGAAACCACAATGAAACGAACTCTATTTTTCTTCCTATATTTGATCACGGGCCCCTTCTTCATAATCGAGGTTAAGGTCGGTATTATACTATAGAAATGAACATAAAGATGAATACATTATGATGCGATTTATCGTTTATAAATTTTGATCGTATTTGAGTAAAATGTTGGTTACCGACAACTTCGATGGTCATATACGGAGCGCGTCAGGGTCGGCCCTGACCACGTGCAGCCCGTGCGGCCGCACAGGGCATCAAAGCCCAATGGGGCATCAAATTGTCATTTATTACTAGTTTTGAGTTTAATAATTTGGGAATTGAACAACTGAGCTTTAACTATAAAAACAAGGCCTAGTAGTGATGAATACTAAATGCACATCGTTGGAAAAAGTTGGAAAGTTGGAAAAGTTGTATGAATA